TGCATTGTTCTTTTATATGTGGGCTGCATTGCTTTATACAAGTGTGGGCTGCATTGATGTAGAGAAGTGGGCTGCATTGTTCTTTTATATGTGGGATGCATTGCTGTAGAGATGTGGGCTGCATTGATGTATACAACAGTGGGCTGGATTCTATTTTTTCTCTATACATGTTTTTTGGTTTTTGTGTTTTGTACTGAGTGCTTCCATGTTTCTTCTGCACGTTTTTAGGTTTTGATTGGGGGCTTCATGAAGGCTTTACGTCACTGTTTGAGTCCCAGGGTTCTGATGTGGTTATGGAGGATTGTGTCATTGAAATCTCTCCAGATAATTATGGTTTGAACACAAATGTGGCGTCTGGACCTGATGGTGGAAGTGTCTCTCGACCTAGCTCTCCACATGATGTATATGATGTTGATGATGATGATTTTGTTACACCGTGTGCACGTGTAACTAGGACTAGGAGTGTAGCAATTAATCGTTCTCATTTGGATGAGGTTGAAGTATTTTCGAACAAGAGGGCAGGTGAGAGGGCTTTTAAGTTGAGATGCTCTATAGAGAAATTGAAGCCTCTGAGGTTCAGATATATGGATGAGGCGATTAAAGGATCTTGTTCTCAGCAAAGATTTTGTAACCAAATACCGCAAGTAAGTTTTTTATTGTGATGCGTGTGCCCTTTCATGCTTTTTGTGTGTTTTGATTTTAATTCTAATTTTATTGATCCCATCTGTGTATGTTTACTGCAGGAACGCGTTCTTTATGGTGCATGGTCCTTTTGGTGATGTCGATACTTACAATATCGACTATATCTATGATACATTTGGCAAAGGAGCTTTAATGGATTCGTATATCATGGATTTTGTCATCAAGTACTAGAAGCAAGACCCTGAATTGGGTTTAGCTTATCAATCCAGTGAACGTTTGCTACTTTCACCTTTATTTATCACGGTAAACGTTTGCTGTTATTCTTTCCTACTACACTGGCTTTTTCATGTCCATGCCTGCTTGCATTGTTTATTCTTTTTTTCATGTCCTTTTTTTTGTTCTTTTTTGTGTGCAGTATGTTCTTCAAATGGAAACCTCTGTGACGAGAGATAATGACGGAAATCCTGTGTTGCCAGTTGTGCATAGCTCGTTTGTTTTAGAAGATGCAGTTAAGCAGTTCAAATTTTTTGTGAACGACGGCGCAAACCTGTTGGATGCAAAACTGGTAAATTCATTGTTTTTTGTCATTTATTTTCCTGGTTTGTTGCATTTCTTTTTATAGTTATTTTTGGAACAGTGGTCCTGGTGGTACGTGTCGAAAGAACTTTTGATTTCATTTTTTTATGCAAACAGATTATGATGCCGCGATTCAAGGATGGTCATTATTCCTTATACACGATGAACCAGCATCGCCAGACCCTTGATATCCATGACAGTAGGAAGTACACTGGCCATCCTGATGTCACGACAAGGTGGCCCAGGACTGACTACCACGCAAATTGCATTAAAGTGGTATGTTATTTTTTCTTTGCCAAGCGTAAAGCTTTCTTTGTGTTTCTCCCACTGTATTTTTTTATAAACTGCAATTGTTTATGTAGTGAACTTCAACATATGCGCGTCAGAACTGCATTTTTCTCACGTGCACTTAAAAGATGGATTGTTTAGATGTTTGAGAACAACTTTTTTTGGGTTCGTTTGAATATCAACTTTTTGATCTGTGATGTGTGTTATTCTTACCTTGTGCTTCTTTGTTTTGCTAGATGAGGAGGATGACTCAGCTGCTGAAGGCGATTTATGGTGTAAAAATGTACAAATCGAGGAACCTTCCTGACTGGGTTAAATTGGCAGAGAAGCCATCTTACCCGGTCGTGCCAGCGCAGGGAGCAAATGAGTGCGGAATCTATGTTCTGAGGATGACACAGTTGTATGACGGCCAACGTCTAGTTGAGAAAATTTTGAAATCCGACGTAACAGCTTCTCTGTTTTCTTTTTACTTTTTTGTTCTTTATGACAACCTTTTTTTTAATCACTTGTTTGCATTTGTTTTCTTTTTTTCAGCCTGCTGCTGAAGATTGGAAGGCGGAGTACATGTTCCAGCTGCTGTTCAATCCTTTGAACATGTTGTGTTATGAAGACATGCCGCTTGAGGTACGTGAACTGATTGCGGACCTCGGGCTCACTTCCCTGTCGCAATTGCAGACGCAGTCGCAGACGCAGGAACAGTCATTTGGGGCACTGTTTTTCTACTGGGTGCAAAAGGCTATGCGTGGACAATAGCTAGGGTTTGATGTTGTGTTTGTGTGTGCTGACTAAGGTAGACAATGTATGAAAAAGACTTTTTTTTGTCGTTGTGTTTCTTCTTGTTCGTTTATGCAGCAGTGCATGTGGATGATTTTGTATATGTATGTGTATTTTATATCAATAACTGATACAATATATATAAGTGTATAATTTTATTTTTTGTTGACGACCATGGTCTATGCGAACTGGCATTTTTGTCACGCTTATATGTATGATATGTGTTCGATAAACTGTATCGCATTTGATGCCGAACTTCTTTGTCCAATATAAGAGAACTGCATTTTTTTGGCATTCAAGCAAAGTGCTGCACGTGTGTGCATGCCGAAGCTGCATTGCTTTATGACACTGAACTGCTTTTTTTTGCGAAAACAAAAAACGCGTTGCTTTTAGCCTATAGTTGAGTTTTGTAGTTGGTTTTTTATTTGTTTGTACGTTAAGGTACATGGGGGGGGGTTGGCCCC